TTCCTATAAAGGATCTCTGTAATTGAAGGAAATGCTTTAGTTTCATTAGCTTTTCAGTAAGCCCACCTCTGAGCTTAACCAGAATCTTAATACTATAAGCTCTTCACAGTTCATCAAAGGCTCAGTCTGGTACACAAACTCAACTGTAATAGAAAGAAGACATCTTCTAAACTGCCAAGCCCAGGGCACCCAGGTGCCCTATTGTACTTGCAGAAAACTATTTTGTATGCTACTTTGATGTCCATTAATTGAAAAAAAAAAAAAAAAAGTAAGAAATTTAAAATTGGCACAGTTGCAATAGAACTCAATGCAAACTTCCTCCCCATGCTGGCCTTGCTTTTAATCCAACAGACATGTGAAAAAATTCTCAACATCACTTAGCAGCAGGGAAATACAAATCAAAACCACACTGAGATATCATCTCACCCCAGTTAGAATGGCTGTTATCAAAAAGACAGAGAATAACAAATGCTAGCAAGGATGTGGAGAAAGGGGAATGCTCCTACATTGTTGGTGGTGCAGCCACTGTGGAAAACAGTATGGAGGTTCCTCAAACAACTACAGATAGAACTGCTGCGGACCCAAAAATCCTATTTCTTGGTATATACACAAAGGAATGGAAATCATTGTGTTAAAAGAATGCCTACACTCCCATGTTTATCACAGCTCTATTTACAATAGCCAAGAGTTGGAATCAACCTACATTTCCATTGACAGATGACTGGATAAGGAAATTATGGTATATATACTCAATGGGATACCACTCTACCATAAAAAATAATGAAATTCTGCCATTTACAGCAACATGGATGAACATAGAGAAAATTATGTTAAGCAAAATAAGCCAGGCACAGAAAGAACAATACCATGTCTTCACTCATAAGTAGGACTTAAAATAAAGAAATAAAAGAAATGGATGGAAGGAAGGAAGGAAGGAAGGAAGGAAGGAAGGAAGGAAGGAAGGAAGCAAAGAAAGAGAAAGAATCACACTAATACTCTAAACTTTCAAAAAAAAAAAAAAAGAGAGAGAGAACAGACCTGTGGTTATTAGAGGTGTGAAAGGGGGAGGGAGAGGGAGTTTGGAAAGAAACTAGTTAAGGGTCACAAAGATTGATTACATTTTGTAAACATGAGAATACTAATTATCCTGATTTGATCACCACATATTGTACACATGTACTGATATTTGATTCTGAACCCCACAAATATATAAACTCAATAAAAACAAACAAAAAGCCTTGTTTAATAGACATTCTTATTGAAAAATGATTAATTAGGTAGTATTTTTCTTAAAAATTATGATTATAATCAACACTTATCAAACTCTTAATAAATGCTAAGCACTGAGCTATAATTTTTTTGTGCATCACTGTATTTAGTATTTACAAAAACTCTTCGATGTATGTATTATTTTTATCCTCCATTTTACAAATAAGAATATTGAAGCTTGTAGAATTATTATCTTCCCAAGGGCATAGAGACTGGATCAGTTTCCAGTCAAAGTGAACTGTGATGACAGAGGCCAAATGCTGACCATTACACAATACTGTCTTTTGCCTAACGGGAAATTCAACATCTCCCTGAGAAGGTTACTTTATTTCCAGCAATCTGCAAGAGAGACTTCTTTGCATTGGTATTAAATCTGCTTATCAGTAGACTTGGTCCAACGAACTGAGGCTGTAAAGGACAAGGTTAGGTCTCTTATGGTATTACTGCTAAGTCTTTTCCTGTATGGGCACTCATTTTCTTTGTAGTCTCCTCCCTAGAATGTCAGCTCCAAGAGGGCAGAGACCTTAGCATGTTCTTTGCTGTATTCCCAATGCCTGGAATAGCGTTTCAGTCTGAGAGGGCCTTCCCCTGAAAACTGCACTGTACAAAACAAAATTCCTGCTAAAAGGGCATAACTTGAATCTGATCATCAGGACACATCAGGTAAATCTAAGCTAAGGAACATTCTACACAATAGCTGGCTTATACTCTGCAAAATATCAACGTCATGATATGCAAGGAAAGACTGAAGAACTGTTCTGGATTTAAAAAAAAAAAAAAAAAGACTGAAGAAACATGGCAATAGAATGTAATGAGTGAGCTGTGATTTTCTTTTGCTTTTCTTTCTTTTGGTATTAATGGAATAACGGGTGAGAGGAAAGAAAAAAAAAAAGCCTGTGGATTATATTAGGCTATTGTGTCTATGTCAACTTTCTGATTTTAATCATTGTTGTGCGATTATGTAAGACAACTTTTCCCAACTTTTTTATTATTATTATTATTGTTCCTCCAAGGAGATAAATTAAATTAATTAATTAATATATAAGTAAAATTAATTTCCCCCTAATAAGAAAAATTAAATGATAAGAAATAAGATTTTATTGTGTAAGATTGAGCTTTGGAGGGCCACGGGTCATTGTTATATCTAAGATTTTTTTTTGCACAAAGAACTAATTTTTGCCCTCATGACAAAATTCTCACTCCCAAGAATGCGGAATGTAAGAGAATGTCCTTTAGACACAAGTATTTGGGTGTAAAGGATCATCATGTCTGCAACTCCCTTCCAAGGTTCAAAAAATGTAGATAAAAAAATACACACATATATGTATGTCTATACATACCTATGCATATGCGCATGTGCATGTGTGTGGAGAAAGAGCAAAAGGAAATATGAAGCAAACATAGTAAAATAATTAACATTTGGGAAATCTAGGTGAAAAGTATAAGGGGTATAACCAACATATAAACCAATGAAAAAGAATGGAGAGCCCAGAAATAAACACTTGCCTATATGATTAATTGATTTTCAACAAGAGTGCCAAGACAATGGAGAAAGGACAGTGCTTTCAACCAATGGTGCTCAGAATACTGAATATTCACATGCAAAAAATGAAGTCAGACCCTTACTTTATGCCATATACAAATGTTAACTTGGGATAGATCAAAGACCCAAGTGTAAGAGCTAAAGGTAAACCAACTCATAGTAGACATGGGAAAACTCTTCATGCCATTGAATTTGGCTGTAATTTCTCAGATATGCACCAAAAGTGTAGGCAACAAAAGAGAAAACAAATAATTGGACTTCAACAAGATTAAAAACTTTTGTCCATCAAAGGATACTGTTAAGAAAGTAAAACAACAACCTATAGAATGGAAGAAATATTTGCAAGTTATATATCTTAACATCTGATAGGATTAATACTGAAAACATATAAAGAACTCCTACATTTAAAAAAAAATTGAAAAGTGAACAAAGAACTTATAGACATTTCTCCAAAGAAGATATACAAATAGCCAATAAAAGCACATGAAAAGATGTTCAGTATCACTATCCATCAGGGAAATGCAAATCCAAACCACAATGAGATACCACTTTATACACACTAGGATGGCTATTATATTAAGAACAACCACAATAACAAAAATAATAAATGTTGGTTAGAATGTGGAGAAATTAAAACACTTGTGAATTGCTGGTAGGAATGTAAAATGGTGCAGCCATTGTGAAAAGCAGTTTGGTGCTCCTTCAAAAAGTTAAACACAGAATTACCATATTTCCCAGCAATTCCAGCCCTAGTTGTATGAGCATTCCAAAAGAATTGGAAACAGGAACTCAAACAGATACTTGTACACCGACATTCATAGCATGTTCACAACAGCCAAAAGGTGGAAACAATTCAAATGTCCATAGCAGATTAACAGATAAATAAAATGTGGTACATGCACACAATGAAATATTATTCATCCTTAAAAAGAAATGAAATCTGATATATGCTATAACCTGGATGAACTTTAAAAAAATTATGCTAAGTAAGCCATAAAATAACAAATATCTCATGATTTACTTATATCAAATGTCCAGAACAGACAAATTGATAGAAATAGACAGTAGGTTAGTGGTCGCCAGAAGAAGAGAAAGGGGGAATTGGAGATTTACTGTTGAATGGTGCTATGGGTTGAATGCATTCCCCAAAAGTTCATGTGCTGAAAACTTAATCCCCATCATAACAGTGTTAAGAGGATGGGAAATCTAATTATAACAATTGAAAGGTGGGGCCTTTAAGAGGTGATTGGATCATGAAGACTATACCTTCATGAGTGGATTAATCCATTCATGACTAATGGGTTACCAAGGAGTAGACTGGAGGCTTTATAAGGAAAGCAACTGAACATGTGAAAGTTCTCTTGCCATTCTCACCCTAGGACTTCATAGAGTCCCTACCAAGAAGGCCTTCACCAGATATGCCCCGTGCACCTTGGACCTCCCAGCTTCCAAAACTCTAAGAAATCAATTTCATTTCTTTGTAAATTATTCAGTTTCGGGGATTCTGTTATAAGCAACAGAAAACTGACTAATATAAATGGGTACATAGTTTCTGTTTGGGATGATCAAAATATTTCAAAAATAGATAGTGATCATTACACAACATGGAGAATGTACCTAACACCACTGATGTACATTTAAAAATGGATAAAATGATAAATTCTATATTATGTATATTTTGCCCCAATACAAATTTTATAAAAAGACTATGGAAAGTTTTTTGTACTATTCCTGCAATTTTTCCATAAGTCTGAAATTATGTCAACATAAAAAGTTATCAGAATAAAAAGAAAGCCTGTCAGTTTAGGATGGTGTCATCAGAGTAGTTGGTATATGTCTCCTTTGAGAAGAGCACATAATTCTACAGGACTAATCCCAAATCTCCCCATCAAAGGACTGGCTCTATCAAATATGCCCCCAAAGGAATCCTGCTCCTGCTCGAGGGTGGTCTTTGCTTTCTATCCCATTGGCTATTCCTTTCTCACCTGGTGCCTCTCTTCCACCTAAGAGTTCTACAATCTCAGACGTTGACTTCAGCTGGCACACGTGTATTGAGGCAAGAGGTCTTAGTGTGGCTTGACAATGCCCTCTTTATACCCAATAGATAGAATGTACTCCCCAGTTTTATGCAGATATAGAAAGAGCTTATTGCCTTGGTCCAAGTGCTGTGAAATAAGAAGCTTCGGCCATGGGTGAGGTTCAAGTGTAGGATTTCTCTAGAATCAGGACACGTATACAATATCTATACATAAGAGATAAGATAAAATTATTCTAGCAACTTCATATTGACCAGATGTTAATTTCTGGTTATCTCCACATACAGCTACTGCATATTGGAATTTACATAAGACTGGCAAATATATGTTATCTTATTTACATATGATAGAGGAATTAAAGATTTCATAAGTTAGATTCTCTTCCCTAACTCACTTGTTTAGTTCCATAAACTCAATTCCAGGAATGTTACAAAGGTTGATTTATTGAGCGTAATGAAAAAATGTGAAGCCCCATCTATCCTTTTTCTCCCCTCATGTTGTATTAATCCATTTCTGTTGCTTATAACATAATGCACAGAACTGGGTAATTTATAAAGAAAATGAAATTTATTGCTTACCGTTTTGGAGGCTGGGAAGTCCAAAGTCCAGGGAACACATTTGGTGAAGTCCTTGGTGGTGGTGACAGTGGCAGTGACAGCAGGGTGTCACATTGCAAAGTGGTGGAGCAAAGAGAGTGAAACTCTGACATGCTCTTCGTTTAAAGCCCTCAGAAACACACCCCTCACAACCATTATTAATCCATTTACTATGGCACGGTCCTACACTCTATCACCTCTTCAAGGCCCCACCTTTTAATTTATCATAATAGGATTTCCCACCCTCCCAACAGTCCCAGTGGAAACTAAGCTTTTAATATGACCTTTGGGGGACACAATTTAATCAACCCACAGAACATACCTTGTTTCTAGGCAGTTCATCCTCAAAGTCAGAAATTCTCCCTGTTGAGTTGGATGTGGTTAATGATAAATAATTGTTATTTCTGTTGGACTTTGAATTCATTTTTTTGTCTGTCATTCCTATTTGGGTAAAAAGTAGAAAAGTTGAACTTACTGATATAAGTATTACTTTTTTGTGTCATATCCTCCTCAATCCCTAGTCACCTGTTCATAAGAAAAAGGACAAATCCCCATTGTTTCAGTGTTCCTAAGTTGTTATCACAGATGCTGTGGCTCAAATCCCATGGACTTACCCCCTTTTAAGATAGAGATGGGGATATAGTCATTATGGACTCATCTGCTTAATTTTGTTTAGGAAGAACAGGAAGAATAAAACCTTCTTCTGGCCAAGTATGACTGACATAGATATTTACCTATAATTTACTAAATCAAAATATTACTTTTCAAATGAAGCATATCCAGTGAGACTTTCACTTCTCCTTTTCCTAAGATGAAATAATCATAGTAATTTCTTTTTTTGAGAGAGATAGAAAAACAGTATTTATTATCCTAATTTACAAAGGAGAAAACTAACATATGGAAATGAAATGACTCACTCAAGTTCACATAGTAAGTCAGTGGCAGGGCTGGAAATAAAAAGCAAGTAATATGGAAGGAGCATGCTATCATCCACTCTGCTTGAGGATTTTCTCCTTTCATTCTTTCTTTTTTTTTTTTACCATTTTTCATTGTATAAATATAAGGCATACAAAATATTTTGATATACACATCCACTCTGCTTGAGGATTTTCTCCTTTCATTCTTTCTTTTTTTTTTTTTTTACCATTTTTCATTGTATAAATATAAGGCATACAAAATATTTTGATATACATCTAAGTAGTGAAATAATTACCACATTTAAGCAATTGAACATATCCATCACTTCTATTGTTACCTTTTGTGTGTGTGTGTGTGTGTGTGTGTGTGTGGTAAGAGCACCTAAAATTTGCTTGCTTGCATATTGTCAATATACAATACAATATTATTAACTATAGTCCTCCTGCTGCATATTAGATCTCTAGGCTTATTTATCTTACACAACTTCAAGACTGTATTCTTTGATATGCAGCTCATTTCCTTCTCCTCCCCTCTGCTGGTAACCACAGCTCTATTCTCTGTTTCTATGTATTTGACTTTTAAAAACTTTCACATATAAGTGAGATCATGTAATTTTTTCCTTTCTGTGTATGAGTTATTTGACTTAGCATAACATCCTCCAGTTTCATTCATGTTGTTGCAAATGACAGGATCTCCTTTTTTAAGGCTGAGTAATATTCCACTATATAAGGGTACTTCAAAAAGTTTGACAAAAAATAGAATTAAAAGATAATACAAATCTTTCCATGAATTTTTGAAGTACCCTCGTGTGTGTGTGTGTGTGTGTATACACACACCACAATTTCTTTATCTGCTCATCTGTGAGCAGACACTTAGATTGTTTCCATATCTTGGCTATCATGACTAACGCTGCAATGAACATGGGAGTACAAATATCTCTTTGAGGTATCAATTTCATTTCTTTTGGGGTATGTATCCCTACATGAGATTGCTTAATCATATGGTAGCTCTATTTTTAATTTTTTGAGGAAACTTCATACTGTTTTTCATAATTGCCATCCCATTTACATTCCCACCAACACGGCACAAGGATTCGCTTTCTCCACACCTTTGCCAATGCATATCTTTTGGTTTTTGTTAATAGTCATCCTAATAGGTGTGAGGTGATATCTCGTTGTGCTCTTGATTTGCATTTCCCTGATGACTAGTGATGCTAAGCACCATTTTATATACCTGTATGCCATTTTTATTTCATCTTTGGAAAAAATGTCTATTCAGGTCTTTTGCCCATTTTTGTTTGAGTTATTTATTTTCTTGCTATTGAGTTGTATGAGCTCCTGATATATTTTGGATATTAGCCCCTTATTAGACTTATGGTTCACAAATACTTTCTTTTAATCAGTAGGCTGCCTTTTCATTTTGTTGACTGTGCAGAAGCTTTTTAGTTTCTTGTAGTCCTCCTTGTTTAATTTTTCCTTTGTTACCTGTGCTTTTGGTGTGACATCCAACAAAATCATTGTCAAGGCCAATATCAATGAGCTTTTCCCCTGTGTTTTCTTCTAGGAGTTTTATAGTTTCAGGTCTTAACATTTAGGTCTTTAATCCACTTTGAGTTAACTTTGGTGTATGGTATAAAATAAGGGTCCAGTTTCATTCTTCTGTATGTGGACATCCAGTTTTCCCAACACCATTTATAATAAGATTCTTAAGGATATTCCCCATGTAAAGATGAAACCAGTTCTTCTTATTTCCCAGAACCAGATCATCATGAGTGGGATTTTCAAAATATCCTATTTTTCTATGTTTCTAGTTGTTTCTCTATAGAGTTTGTGTTTTTGTCAGAATTCACATTTGAAAGAAAGCCAGAAAATGTGCTTGTTTTTGGAAACCCACTATGAAGGAAGACAGTAGCTCATTTTTGAGTGGATAGTTCAGAAATAGTAAAGTATTTATTTTTTTAACTACTAATATTTTTATAATATTTTAAATATCTAACCTTATAACATCTCATTTAATAATTATAACAACTTCATCAGGTAGCTGGATTTTCAGGAAAAAAAGTCCCATTTTACATATAAGAAAGCTGAGGCTCATGGAAGTGTATAACTCCCTGAAGGTCACACAGTTAGAAGGGTGTTAGTCGAGGCTCTTACCCCTGCAATATCTTCTCTCCTTCCAGCAAATAGGCCTCAGACCATTCCTATGCTGTTGAACTTAAGGTAATGATGTTCCCTTCTAGCAACCAAGCCATCTCTCCTTTCTCTGGCCCTAGGAATTCCAGGTACTCAGAAAATCATTTCTCCCATTTTTCACCACCCCTCTCTGGTCCCATCCTAATTCTCTCCCCACATAAAAATCCCTTGAGTCTACCTGTACCCCTGTTTTTCTAGATTAGGAGTTTCCAACTAATTGGACTTAGTATCGACCTGACTCTGCCATCCTTTCCAAGTGAATATTGAGAGCTGAGAGAATTCTCAGGGGCTGTAACAGTCCAAAAGGGGAGGCTACACTTACCACCTGGCTTCTTAAACTCTTCTTTCAAGGACAAAATTTTAGTTCCAGCTGACAGGGGTCGAGTTTAGATGATAAATATATATATACATACACACACACACACATACACATATATACATATGTATATATATACACATATGTGTGTGTGTGTGTGTAAATGAATAGAAATGGTTTTTTCTCCTTGTACACATATATACATATGTATATATATATACACATATGTGTGTGTGTGTGTGTAAATGAATAGAAATGGTTTTTTCTCCTTGCAGTTTCAAGTGCTGTGACTGCCCCACATCTTGTACTTCCCATTTCCTATTTTCCCATGAGGGAGCCTAACAAGTCAGACAAGAAATCGAAATGGGCTCTATGTCTGTCTTCATGAAGCGTGGCCTCTCTGATACTTACTATCTGTGTTCTAGGTCTTGGGACATGGTGCAACTACGAAGAATTGATATCTCATCAGAAAATTGACATCATTCACTATGTAGGTTCGTTGCGGGCTTTGACATACAAAAGAAGGGGAAGGCCCTCCATTTCTCGACCTTTTTTCTTTGAAATGGAACCTACTGAAGACCTCCAAGTGGGTATCAGTTGAGCATGTTTGTTAGTGGAGATCAGAAGTGCCTACTCAGGATTCAGTCACTCAGAGAGTCTATCGCTGCAATATGAGGTGGTGGCTTTGACTGTTATACCATTTCACATTGTTTTTATTCTCAGTCATATATTTGTTCATATCTATTCATAAAATGTCACTGGTTAAAGTTATGAATCATAAGGAATGTTCATGTTGGAATATAAGAAATTGATGAAGAGCATAAAATCATTACTCAGAAAATTCACATGAAGATTATTTTTAAAATTAAAAATAGGAATTATGAAAAATTTAAATTTATAAAAAAGTAGAGAAAAGTTACAAAATTATATATTAGATACTATGTATTTGTCATGTCATATTTGTTAGAATTGCTTTCTATGTCTCCCTCTTCTTTTGGTGGTGAGCCAGTACAGGGTTAGAACCCTGGACCTTGATGTAATCAGCATCACGTTCCAACCAGCTGAGCCAACTGGCCAGCCCCTGTTTCCTGTCTCTTTTTTATAAGTAGTAGCATTTATTGATATAGTTAAAAATTCACTCCTTTCCCTTCCTCTTCTTTACTTCCTCCTTCCTCAGAGGTAACCACTCTACTGAGTATGTGTGAATTATTCCTTTACATGTTTATATCATAGTATATATGTCTGTGTCTATAAATATGTGTTATTATTTTAAGTTTATATATATATATTCTATTTTTGAAATTTATTCATATTCGTTGTCAAAAATATTCTAATCTAATAAGTATTCTATAGCACATCAAGATGTCTTTAGAACTTAATTAAACCCTTGGAAAAGTAAGCACTTGGAAACTAAGCATGAATATTATTTTTAAATTTTTTTTAGGCTCTAGATGTTAAAAACAAAATCAAATTTATCAAAGAAAGTTTTGTTCACTTCTGATGTAGCAAAAAATAGTTAAATTTCAATCTATACTTCAATGCATATATTTTTATCCCTGAACTAAATGTGATATATAAAATATCATTTTTAATCTGTCCATAAATTATGTTCCTTTATAATTAATTTAAGGTTAATTCAGTAATGTAGACTACTTATTTAATGTGGATAAGTCAAATTTGTCTTTTTAGATGTGTATGAGGAACATTATAGTAATTTTAATAAAATTGACTTACAATGTAGCCCTTAACTGTAATAATATATTGAATAAATATATACAAAATAAAAACCAATATATTATTGATATAGTAAAAGATCCTTTCAGGAGAACACAGAGTCTCTTTCCTTGAGGAGAAAGGGACATAAATAGGACTGCTCAGAATGAAACAGAACAATTTTTTTTTAAAAAAGGAAAAGATCCAATAACAGAAACAATAAGTCAAAAAGTAAACAAATATTTTTTAAGCCACATCCTGATTCAGTTAAGATTTAACTATTTATAACTTTGCTTTCTGTTGCTGGGGCACAGGCTTTGCCCCTAAGAGCACATCATAAGAAGCCAACCAGTGAGCATCTCTCCATTGAGGCAACTGCTGCTGTCCCTCGCACTGCTCCTGAAGGCCCAAGGACAGAGCCACGAAGAAGCTTCTTCTGGGTGTCCTGCTTTTCACCATTCCTGCAGAAGGAGTGACACAGTCAGGTGGATACTGAGCCTAGTCAGGAAGTTTTCTCCAGGACTAGTTTGGGGGAACTAGAGTACAGCAACTTTGTTGTTGTTGTTGCTGCTGCTGCTACTGCTGTCTTCAGGAAGGTATGAGTGAAGGATGGTGTATAAGTTATCTATTGCTGCATAACAATTTACCTCAAAACTTAGCAGCTTGAAATAACAAAGAGTTAATATGGCATACTTACTGTGGGTCAGAGAACAGGGGGTGGCTTAGCTGATGATTCTGACTCAAGGTCTCTCAATCAACCAGGACTGTAGTCTCATCTGAAGGCTCAAGGAGAGGATCTGCTTCCAAATTCACTTGATGTGGTTGTCAGGATTCAACTCTTTGCATGATATTGCATTGAGGGCCTCAGTTCTTCACTGGCTATGGGTAATAGACCTCCCTTAGTTTTTTGCCACAAGGACCTTTCTATAGAGGAGCCCATAACATGTCAGCTGGCTTCTCCAGTAGAGAGTGATCCAACACAGGGAGAGAACATGCTCAGCACAGAAGCCACAGCCTTTTTAGAAATCACATACCTCATTCCAGGTCTATTCTATTCGTTAGAAGTGAGTCAGCCAGCACCCACACAGAGGGGAATTATTTTTTAACATATTTTTTAAGCCAGTACAGATGCTGATGAATATGGATATACCTGGCATAAGGAAATCCCAGGGAGAAAAGAGAACTGGATTTGCTTGTCGTAAGGAAACACCACTGCCTCTCACTTGAGAGAATATGAAGGGATGTGTGGTTTTTGCTAGAAAAAGAGAAGTTGTTACAAGGGTTGTGGTATTCACTCTCTGATCCTTTCAAGCACCCAGTCTGGCTAACATGAGAGAAAATATAAAATCATAGAAGTAGCTTAGACTTTAAATCAGAGAACCAGTTGCTCCTAATTGAATTCCCTTTGTGAAGTCCCTGAATTCTGAGCCCCAGTTTCTTCATCTATACAATGGGGATAAAAACAACATCCATCTGACAAAGTATTGTTATGAAAATTGGGTGAGATCAATTATAGGCAAAATGTACTTTGTGATGTGTAAATGTTATAAAAATTAGTTTTTATTGGCAGTAAAAAAAAACTTTAATGTTTTGGCATCCTTTATCTTTCTATTACTGCTACTAAGGCCATACTCATTTTCTCAAGTTTGAGACACTCATTTCTCTATAGTATTACTACCAGAAAAATTAGTTTTTATTGGCAGTAAAAAAAAACTTTAATGTTTTGGCATCCTTTATCTTTCTATTACTGCCACTAAGGCCATACTCATTTTCTCAAGTTTGAGACACTCATTTCTCTATAGTATTACTACCAGTGATAAATTATTCAAAATCTCACACTTCAGCTAATCATGCTATATTGAACCAGGTTTGTATACTGACAAGGTTACAAATCACTAGCAGTGAGATAATTAAATCACAGGGTATAAATGTATGGTTTACTTTCCCATTCTCCTAGTTCCTATCATATTGACTGAAGTTCTCCCTCTTTCTATTGAAGTCTGTCTCCTCCTAGCTTCCTCTCCCTAAATACTCTGTTTCTATTCTTTGCCCAGGGCAAGCATTTCTTAAGAAGCCCTTGCATCTGAGGAAATAAGAATTCAAGCTCTTCATCCATTTCCTACTATGAAGCAAAACTAACTCAGCTTAAGACCTCATAGTGCTTCTAGGCTATGTCACTCTTGATTCAGTTAGTCATTATTCACTAATTTATTTTCCACAGCATAGTATTTGTTAAATTTGCTTTCCTAAGCAAGAAAAAGAAAACAGTTAATATTACAGTCATTAACCCCTCTTTTTCTCTTGTGGGTCTTAAGAGGAAATGAGTCAATAATAAGTAATACCATGACCCTTGTGTTGTAGCCATGGGGAAACAAGCAGCAGAAAATTGCTCCTGAACTGGCACTCAAGACCTGCAAAAAGGGAATGGAGAGGAAGGTGAAGATACTGTAAAGGTCTGGACCATGTGGTTTGCACACTGTTCTATTCCTCATATTTTGCACTAGCCACAAGTGTTGGTCCATCATAGCCAAGTCAAGGTTAAGATGAGCCATTAAAATTCTACCTATCCCCAGCAGCAAGTGTTCAATGGGAGAAATCTTAGAATCTAACCAGTGGTGGGAGGATGGGATGTTACATGCTTTATCCATTATACTCAATGAGTCAGCTGTGCTTCATTTTTTGTGACTGCTGTTGGCTGTTCTATCCAGATGAAATCTGAAAGGAAGCTGGAGGTGGGAGTTGATATGGGACATCTTTAATTTCTTTTTTTAACAAGACAGCTGAACCAAAACCTGCCTTTTAGCATCGATATTTTGCTTATACCATCACTGAGATAATGCCCTTACAGGTACTTTGTAAACTGTGCTGTATATACTCTGTCAGGAGGCAGCCTACCATCCACAGTGAAAACGAATCAAGGAAGAAAGTTGACAGAATACTCGTCACATTGTCTCTCTCTACAGACCTGAGAGGGAAGATGTTTATTTTCGCTCAAGAATCAGCCACAGCATATGTGTCCCTGATCCCCAAGGTGAAGAAGCCACTGCAGAACTTCATGCTGTGCCTGAAAGCCTCATGGACCTTACCCGCCCTTACAGCCTCTTCTCCTACAACACTCCGTCCCAGGACAATGAGCTGCTTCTCTTTGTCAACAAAATGGGAGAGTACATGCTGTACATTGGGAATTCTAAGGCCACTTTCCAGGCCCCCCCATCACCCTATGCCCCAATCCATGTCTGTGCAAGCTGGGAGTCTGCCTCTGGGATTGCTGAACTCTAGGTGAATGAGAAGACTGTGGGGAGGAAAGGTGTGAGGAAGGGGTACTCTGTAGGGGCAGAGGCAAAGATTATCCTGGGACAAGAGCAGGATTCCTTTGGGGGACATTTTGATGCAAAACAATCCTTTGTTGGGGAGATATGGGATGTGTCCTTGTGGGATTATATTCTTCCCTTAAAGGAGGTGTGTGAGTTCCGTTATGGAGGCGACCTCCTGAACTGGCAGGGCTTGACTTATGAAGACAAAGCCTATGTGGTGACTAAACCCAAGGTCCACACCTTAAGCCTCATTCCATTTAGTCATGATTCATATTTAGTGATAATCACATACTCTTTGAAATTAAATCCATTAATTTTATTTTTGTTTTCTGGCTCCATTAAGATGGTGTAAACTACATTGAATAAGCAATAAGGAAAGAGAGAGAACAAGAAAGAAACAACAATGGCAATAATACATTGAACTTTTAGAAGAAGAGAGAACAGAACTGTGGTTACTAGAGGTGGATAGGGAAAGGGGGAGAGAGAAGGAGGTAAATGAGAAATCAATGAGAAATTAGTTAATGGACACAAAGAACGATTACATATTGTAGCGATGAATAAGCTAACTATCCCGATTTGACCATCACACATTGTAACAACTGTTGACAGTCAACTTTGTATCCACAAATATGCATAATCAATTATGCTTCAGTGAAACATACATTGGAAATAAACAAATAAAAGTAAAAAAAGACAAGGGATAGATAGGCTTTCAGTGTACATTATTTATTGTTGGAAAATTACTTTGGATGAATCGCACCATAATTTTCTACAGCATCAAGATATATATAGGAACTCTGAGGAACACACAGCTTTCAGTACTGTGCACCAATCTTGTAGAGCCCTGTACAGCTGTGGGAAATTCTATGGGAGTTCTGTGTACTAAATCCAGCAATCCATAAAAATGATATGATGACCAGGAGAAGCTTTCAGAAATGGTATACTACAGTGAACAGGACACCCAAAGAGAGAGGCTCAAAGAGAAGGGTTTTCACAGGAGTTGGGTTGTGAGAACATTTCCCTTGTACTCACCTCAGAAAAGGTCCATAGGTGTTCTCAGGGAACACACAGATAAAGGAAAAGATAAATTGCCCTGAAGGTCCCTCTTCACCCCCACTCTCAGGTTGCTCTCTTGGAGGTAGCTGTTTTGAGCAGGGCATATCTTGTACTTCATAAACATGATTATTTTTCTCCTTGGCCCTTTTGCCATTAAGAACTCCCAGGTCCTTTGTTTGACATGCACTTTCAATGCATTTTCAGTGGGGATACTTGGATAGTCATGGTAGGTGGGAGATATAGGGTATTTTGTTTGTTTGTTTTCATTTTTTTCTTACATCAGACCTTTATGGATTAAAAGACATTTGGCAAGTTCTGCCTCATTTTTTCTCCAGGCCAAATAATTCTAAAACCTTAAACCTTTCTTAGAAATCAAGATAAACTTCCCCTTTAGAAGGCAGTAACAATAGGAGTTAGGAGACTCCCAGATTCTTGCTTAGACAAGTGTTTAAATTTAGAGTTTAAACCAGGTACCCAAGTATTCACAGAAAACAATCTGCATCAATGTAGAAATGAAGAGGGTAAAGGCAAGATATGGGTGTCAGATTATTTTCTACATAGAGAAGAATGAAAATTATGGGCTAATTTCCACAGCTGAGATAGCAAGAGTTAGCTGGGAGGTGCTATTAATAAATTTAATTTCAAAAAAAAATGTTCAGGTATCCCTATACTTGTGAATACAGTATAACATATGTGCTACACCCTTCATGTATAAATGCAGGAAAATTCAGAGGCTGAAATGAGCAAGTTACTTACACTGAATATGCTAGTAATTGAGACTCACCAAGGGAGTAGTTCTAATGGGAGCCTCAACAAAACTGGAAAAAATGTCATGAGTCTCCAAGGCAGGTGAGAATATTTAAAGCTGATAATATTTCTTCTGGAATGTTAGGGTCTGTTACTCTTGTCACTGCCCTAAGGAGAAAATGATGATAAGTGGGAAAGGTGGCTTCAACTGTGTTTCCAACATATCCTGTATACCAGCCATGTCCTCTTTGAAGCTGTAGTGCTCAATATCTATCTGAAATTTAGGTTGCCCTTTCAACCTATCACTTTAAATAGGTGTTATGCTGCCTACTTTTCTGCCACCTGATAACAACTAGCCACCACCCTCTTGCTTAAGTTCCCTACCAGATTTCTACCTTGTAGCAGCATCTGACCGTTCCACTGGTAGTGGTGACCAATGAGATTAGTAGAAGGTATAGGAGAAGGATGGTAAAAATGAGAGTCAGGTCAGGGAGACGCTTGATTCTTTAATGCAGCCTTACCACCAAATTTTGTAACTCTCTCTGGGTAGAGGATGAATGATAAGATCAAATTTTTTAGAGCTTACAAAAATACCCACATGATGATAAACTACCTATCAAACTGCCAAAGTCTCTAGGCAAGAAATTTTTTGCCAATAGCACGATAAAGGGCATCTTTGACCTCCTTGTTTCTTAAAGTGTACACAACAGGATTAAGGAGTGGAGTAAAAATGGTATAACTCACAGAGATCAGCTGGTCCTGATCCCTGGTGTTCTCTGACTTGGGCTTGAGGTAGGCAATGGAGGCACAGCCGTAGTGGACAATGACCACAGTGAGGTGGGAGGCACAGGTAGCAAAGGCTTTCTTTCTGCCCTCAGCAGAGGCAATCTTGAGGATGGTGGAGATGATGAGGATGTAGGAGATGAAGACCAAGCCCATGGGCACCACAATAACCAGTGAGCTGATGATAAAATTAATTACATCATGTACAGTGGTATCAGCACAGGAGAGTTTCATAACTGGGCGGATGTCACAGAAATAATGGGCTACCTTCCTATTACAAAAAGGCAGCCTGAACACAGATGATATCTGAATTATGGCCACAATCAGCCCAATACTGCAGGCCCCCAACACCAGCTGGGCACAAACCCTCTTGCTCATGATGACCAAGTACCTCAAGGGGTTGCAGATGGCTACATAGCGGTCATACCCCATTGCTGTGAGCAGAAAGCAGTTGTTGATGGCCAAAGTGATAAAAAAGAACATCTGGGTGGCACAGCCAGCCAAGGAGATGGGTTGGCTTAGACCTATGAGACTGGAGAGCATCCGTGGCACAATGGCCAATGTGTATGTGGTCTCTGAAGTGGAAAGCATACTGAGAAAGAAGTACATGGGAGTATGGAGGTGACGATCAATGCTGATAATTGTCACAATGATGACATTGCCAGCCAGTGTTAAAAGGTACAAGGTAAGAAATACCACAAACAGAGTGAGCTTGTGTTCATGAAAACTGGAGAAACCCTGGAAAACAAACTCAGTCACCAGGGTGTGGTTCTCTCTCTTCATTGAATAAGTTCCAGATTGAAAAGATGGAGACTCAGGTCAATCAGTCATCACACATCAGTGCCCAGTGCTTTGAGCAGCGGAACCCTAGAGAAGAAGATAATAAGGATTCTGCCCCTGGATAGATGCCAAGCTAATGGAGACTACTGTTCACCTATAGGTAAAAAATAGAAAACACAATCATAAATCAATTTCATGTATGACAATTTATATATAAAGGTATGGAAGAATAAACAAGAATGGGATCAGAAGGAAAGAAAGCCACCAGAGGCAAGTTTGGAAAAGATTTCCTGGTGGGTTAAAACATAGGTTTTAGGGGGAATTAGGCTAAAGAAATAGAAAAGAATGCAGTTAAATTTGAAAGGAATTTTCTCTTAGATTTCAGTTTCAGATTTTGTTTATCTGAAACAAGTTGGTGAGACTCATCCACTTTGTTTAAACCAAAGTTTTGAGCATCTTCTTACATATCTACCCTTCTGGTTCACAAGCAAGACAATGCTCTCTGCTTCAACATAACCTAAGTGCTCACTTTCTCCCTCTTCTACTCATCTGCACATTTCATGAACCCTTTCCACACATCATTCAACAGCTTCAAACCTGACTGATCCCCACATTTTTTAAAAAAACAAGAAATGTTCCCCTCTTTCTTCAGTATTTAACTCAAGTCTCCTTTTCCTTAGAAAGTCTGCTCAGGACTAAATATAATCTATCAGTCCAATACTCCCGTGGTGTTGCAAAGTGTTGCCTGGTAACTCATTCTCATGTATTGTGCATATTTCTAGTTTTCTAGCTTGTGCTAAGATGTGAATTTTCATCTGCCTCACTACTAGACTAGTCTGACTTTTCAAATTTCTTCAGAATTACAAATTGGGTAACTTTGGGGAAACCAGTTCACACATCTCTCTCTCTATTTGCCGTCTGAGGAGATATTGGAGATTAAAAGCTCTCATTTTCAAAGAGTTTAATAATAAATAATAATAATGATGATGATTATGATAATAATAAATAGTCCCTTGTGGCACTTTTTAGTTTATAAAGAGTGTTGTAATATATTATTTAACACCATAGCAATTCCATATATTAGGTAATTATTATTTCTATCCTGCAGATGGGAAACCTAAGGCACCTAGGGTTAAGCGATTTGCCCAAATTAATTCAATCTTTTAATTCTAAGGCTATTGTGATTTTTCCTACACCACAACTACCTAGAAAGCATCATGACCACAAAATAGATGGGAAAGAAGATGTGTTTGCTTGTTTTGTTATTATTGAAAGAATTCATGTATTTTTCTTTCTCTGGAAATGAGATTACATTGGGAAAAACTGGAAAAACTGGAAAAGAATTGGGAAAACTGAAGATTTTTATAATATTATTTATAATATTATAAAATAGCCCTTAACCACTCCTGTGTAACTGAGATTCATGATATATTATTGAACAAGATAAAACTCAAATATTTATGTAACTGGAAAGTCAATCCTATATACACTATGGGGGAATGAAAAAAATAAATAGGTTATAGAAAATAAAAGACATAATTGAGCTTGTGCATCCCTACAACTCCATCTCCTCTCTCATCTTCCCCTCGGAAAAATGATGACTCATGAGTAGGGCAAAGACCTGATGAGTGGTAACCCTAGGATAGCGGGATAACGATAGCCAAAAAAAATGCCACCTTCCTTCAGTGGAATCCTTGTCATTGAGAAGAGCAACATTTTTCACCACCTTCTGTTGCTTGGGATTCCAGATCTTTAGCCAAAAATATCTTTCCACCCCTAAAAAGAATTTCAAAAAATTTATTTCTACAGAAATCATTTTCTGCCTAGACCTGACACCCAAATCTGGGCAAGAGTTTAATCTTATTCATTTCATTATTCAAGTCTTTCCAATTGGAAGCAAGCAGGAAAAACTCATGTGCTTGGTAGTTTTAAGTCCTTTAAATATAACTGAATCATAGAACCTTAGAGTTCAGAGTTAACTTTCAA